CCAAGCTTTGTCAGATCAACTTTGTGAAACCGGGTGAAACTGCCAAGACACAGTCGCCACACCAACCATCAATTCTAGATGGCGCAACAGGTTGGAACATAGAGGTGGATCGTGGCAAGAAGCTTGTTCTCCCAAGTATTTTCCAGACCAACTAAAGACTAGATATTGTACTGTGGTCTGAAAAAGGAAAGAAACTCATCATGATCGAGTTAACAGTACCTTGGAAGACAAGATGTGAAGAGGCCTACGAGAGGAAGAAAGCAAAGTATACAGAGTTACTCAACCAATGAAGACAGAGAGGCTGGCATACATGGCTGTTTCCTATTGAAGTAAGTGTGCGAGGGTTCTGTTTGCAATCTGTGTGCCGGCTGATGACAGCGATAGGAACTACTGGAAGGGATAGACGTAGGACAATCCAGAGACTGAGCCCAGCTGCCGAGCATGCGTCTAGCTGGCTGTGGCTGAGACGAAAGGAGAAGAGCTGGAAGCAATGGACCTCCACACCGTAAGACGGTGGGCCCACTCGCCAGCAGATATACATGGATAAGTATCAATGACGGCGAGCACCATGCTGATGATGGAGGTCGATCAGCAATCTAGAAGCACCACAGACAGGAGATCTACAGAGGATCTACATTAGGTGCGTTCCAGATTGTATCTTACTCATCAGCCAATTTTTTTTTCGTGAAAAGTCATCGATTGCACCGTGAATTGGAAAACCATACGGTTTTAATTTATCATAACGGTCTATGTGAACGATACAGTTTGACCTTCCGTTGTTATACATACGTCGGCATAGCAACGTTACCCCTTCTGGATCTAACATTTTAACAAAGACTCTAACTTTATTTGATGTTGCTCGGATACCCAAATTAACATTCAAATGTCGCCATAGTACTCTGTTTCCCACATCTACAAATCCCGCTGCATGAAGTCTTTGTATTCCTTCAAATATGAGAATGTCGCGGGATTCGACATTGTTTCTATGCAGTTCTAATTTCTGAATTATTCTTCTCAAATCTCTCTTCCGTGTTTTTAGTATCAGAAACGCTCTAATTTCAGTATGTTTATACATCTGTTTATTATATGTTTGACAAGATCGTCAAGACTGGCATGTCAATCCGGAAAGACGGACATTTTGTGCTGAAATCAAAAACAGAATTATTATTTGTACGTATTTTACATAACTGATGTTGAACCATATATTACAGGCATTTAGACGGTTTTTCATTTAACCGTTTCAACCAGAAACCTTAGTTTTTGAGCCACCAGTTTGCCTGAGTACCATTTTCCTTCATTTTCCCAACGGATTGAGCGTATAACCAACACAAATATTGAGTAACTACACTAAAAAGTAGATCATTACTAAAGGTAAGAAATAAAAAAATCTGGAAACAAAGTGTTCCTTTGGAAGCATTAATCACATCAAAAGTTTATGAAAATTGCAGGCTCGGTTTGATTGAGTCTGTACATGAGGCATAATGAATAAGTGCAACCTCCTTCACGCCCCCTGGCACCGACTTGAGCGGTACACAATTCTCAGCACTTAATAGTGCTGGCATCAATGATCTCGAATGACCAGAAAAATATAACAACACTGAAGTGAAGTACGGGGCAACTTATTTCAGCTGCCACACGACAATTGACACCTGCTGTTGTTTAGTATAAAAGTCTGGAAACCAAGTGATCTTTCGGAAGCACTCATCACAACAAAATTATATGAAAATTGCAGACTCGGTTTGATTAAGTCTGTACATGGGTGATAATGAATAAGTGCATTCTCCTTCACGCCCCCTAGCACCGGCTTGAGCGGTACTCAATTCTCAACACTTAATAGTGCTGACATCAACGATCCCGTATTTGACGTTGTTAACCATTGGTGTTTATTGATTAATCTATACAAGATATTTCTGTATACAAAAATTGTACCTAATTCATTGGCGGAGCGGCTTCGCCCATGATAACGATCAGAATTTACCTCACATGACAAGGTAAAAAGTCGTCAGTGCACTCGCTGTAAATGACCGTAATAACTTATATCCATATATCTCACCTATATCAATTAAAAATCAAAATTTCTGTGATGTGTACTTAAAAACGAAAAACAGACATGAAAACACAAGGGAATGGCGCTGCAAACTTGATACTTGTATATTGTTTGTCTTTTCATTTGCGTACCGCACCCGGCATTTACCTGCTGGGATGATTTTTAGACAAATCAATCCAATTTGAAAAACGACAAAGAGAAGAACAATACGAATATTTCAGTTTTGTAAGCGAAAACGTAATTACATTTTAATAAAAATAAATATTCATTATAATAACAAATATATCACATGAAAAAGCAAAATATACAAAGATTGCAAAAAAGTACATGTACTAATAATGAAACTCAATGTGGACGAATGGTTAAGGGTACTGACTTATTCTACCATCAAATTCGTACATCACCGAAATGACCTAAGCTGTGAAGTGGCACGATTTTTTTTTAAAAAATAAGATCAAGAGGAATGAGATGACTCCTTTGCCGATACTTTACAGTCAAATGCCTGTAGGTTGTATCCCTCTCAAGGCTGACTTTTTATCTCTGCTTTTCATCTGGCAGCTCTCCAGACCTTGAGTCTAATCATTTTGTATACTATTATATATTTTGCAATATACCCTCTTCGCTTTCAATTAATAATGCAAATCTGAATTCTTCAATAACGGAACGCTTAATTCCATGTCTTTAGAAAGGTACTAGAAATGTAGTGGGTATTGAATTTAAAATATATATTAATGTTTGATTTTGCTTGTTTAAAATTCCAGGGACCTCCCCCGAGTTCAATTAAAATTTGTTCCGATATCGATCGAACTCCTTTATAACTGATATCCAGTAAAATCGGTTAAAACATTTGACATTTCTGTTTGTTTATTTAATGTGATATAGATACTTATCTCAGTTATTTTCCTGTTCATCTTTACCTTTATTCCAGAAAGTGCAAGGCAATAACCTAATATACCTTGTATATTTTAATATAAGCCGCATCTGTAGCACTTAAATTCATTATCTGTAACCTACGTGTTTTAAACTTGTGTAGCAAATCTATTGGTTATAAGTAGGAATGCTCTTTTTCTTGTACAGGTAATAGTCTACCATATTAATAATCATCAATTATGAATGAGACAAAGCGTTGTCATCAACTAATTTACAATAGGTCGTTTAATCAAGATAGTGTTTGTTAACAGGATAAGTATTCCATTGTTTGTGCTACACTGTATTTCTATAGCGATGTCACACAGTATGTACATAAGAACTGCTTCAAAATACACATTATATTTTATCATTTTCTACTATCAATTTTAGTGATGTTTTTTTCTTTGAATATCGTTCTTTAAATCAATATCTTCTATTTATTTTGACGGTTGATCATTCAAGACGTTACTCTAAAACATTTATAAGACGACAAAAGACTAGAAATAATTGAGCTTTTTATCCATTTCATATACAGAGTACACCTTAATTGGCCGTAAATATCACGAATTAATAAAACTTTATACAGGTACTGCCTATAGTAGATTTTATTTAGAGCATAGTTCTTTATTTCCAAATATTATGTGCCGAGCAATAGCTCCAAACGTTGTATTTAGGTCTCTTATAACCATCTCGTTCAAAGCTTCCTCATTCTTTCTGCTGTAAAGATGAACACCGTAAAGTTTTGACCAATCAAATGGACGAAGTCCATGTTTAAATATTGCAACACCATGCAGACTGTAAGGTCTTGAAATTGTCTCATTTTCAACGTGTATTAAATCTGTGAAATTTGTAGCCAACATGTAAGGGTATCGCATAGCACTATAGGAGTAGGAATCGTTTCTATAGTGATACTTATAACCATCAAGCCATTTTTGCATAAACTCGGAGTTTCGTTCTGCCATTATATACGAAGAACCAAGATGAAAATGTGGTCTTAAATAAGACATGGTGCATGGATACTGTCGTAACAAGTCAACATCCCTCATAAGTACCATGTCCATATCTAAATATATTCCTCCATACTTCAACAAGGCTTCAATACGAATAACATCACTTAAATTATTGATGTGTTTCACTTTCTTTCCGAATATTTTATTGGATTCTATAAGTCTTTCAACGTGAATTATATTTGGATATATATTTATAATAAACTTCCAATATAAACCTTGCGGTAAAATATTTCCATGGATCAATATCAAGCAGGGACGGACGAATCGTAAAGCACTTATAAAACTAAGAAATCCATAAAAATCAAATTTGACTTTAAGCCCATACCACACGTAATGCACAATTTTCGGAACTGTCATTTTATCTGTACAACATTGTTTGATATAAGAATTGACACAATCACTTTCATGAGATATTGTTTGTATTTGGTTTCGCTGATGCCAGTTAGTTGTTTCGCATTTGATGTATATTACTGGAGGTTGGTTCGTGAAACGATAGTTTCTCACATCAAAACTTGGACAAACAAGTCTCTTTTGATACGTCCACGTACTCCAGTCAGTTGTTATGGGATTGAAGTGATTTGAAACTTCAGATAATCCGAGGGAACATTTATCTTGTTTGAATTGACTGTACAAGTCGTTGTTCATTTTTTGTTGACCTTTTAAACTATTTTTTACTTCATTCATGATTATTCTTCCATCGGAATCTTCTGCAACAGTACAAAATATGTATTATTTAATCAACATATATAAAAGAACACCAAGAGAGATTCAAGAAGTATGCTTAACCAGGGTCTTTCATTTTTTTAAAGATCCTGGTTTAAGAAATTTTGATACAAATGTGATTTTTATGCCCCCGCCATGTAATGGCCGGGGCATATAGTGTTACCCTGTTCCGTCCTTCCGTCCTTCCGTCATTCCGTCCTTCCGTCATTCCGTCATTCCGTCCTTCCGTCATTCCGTCATTCTGTCATTCCGTCATCATCAGTTTCCGTTCATTATCTTAGTAACTGTTGCACATATTCAACTCAAATTTCACATATGGATATGTCATGAGAAAATACAGGTCAAGTTCGAATTTGGTCATGGTTCGATGATTTTTGGCAGAGTTATGCCCCTTTTACTTTGAAAATAATATGAAATTTTCAGTTTCCGTTCATTATCTCCCCAACGGTACAACACATTCAACTCAAATTTGACATATGGATATGTCATGAGAAAATACAAGTCAAGTTTGAATTTGGTCATGGAGATGATTTTTGGCAGAGTAATGCCCCTTTTTCTTTGAAAATAATAAGAAATTTTCAGTTTCCGTTCATTATCTCCCCAAAGGTACAACATTTTCAACTCAAATTTGACAAATAGATATGTCATGAGAAAATACACGTTAAGTTTGAATTTGGTCATGGTTCGATGATTTTTGGCAGAGTTATGCTCCTTTTCCTTTGAAAATAATATGAAATTTTCAGTTTCTGTTTATTATCTCCCCAACAGTACAACACATTCAACTCAAATTTGACATATGGATATGTTTTTGGAATACCCAGGCCCAGTTCGAATTTGTTCATTGTTCAATGATTTTTGGCAGAGTAATGCCCCTTTCACTTTGAAATTAATATGAAATTTACAGTTTCTGTTCATTATCTACCTAACAGTGTTAAATATTCAACTCAAATTTGACATATGGATATGTCAAAGGAATGGACAGGTCAAGTTAGAATTTGGTCATGGTTCAATGATTTTTTTGGCAGAGTTATGTCCCTTTCACTTTGAAAATAATATAGATACATCTTAGGAATAAGCAGTTTAAGTTTGAATTTGGTCGTGGTTCAGTGATTTTGAACAAACTTATCTTTCTTGAATATTGGAAAAATTTTGAACTTTCAGTTTCAGCACTCATACTTTTGTGGAAATGTATGTAGCCATTATTTTGGCTACAAATATGAAATATGCTATTTTCAAAAGGTTAAGACTGAATAATTTCAGTGCCTTGAACATTGTATGGAAATGGTTTGTGTTAACATTGAAAAGTTTTAAGGGCTTTGAACTTAAAATGAAAACAATAATTTGTGCAAACAAATTTGGAACTAAATATTATAACATCTTAAATTTTGGCTGCATGCGGGGGCATCCGTGGCATGATGACACATTTCTAGTTTTTTTCAAATTTGTCATATGATCGGTTTACATTTAACAAAGAGTAAAGCTACAACATCTAATAAATTAGTTTGTTATGCATCATTATGGCTTTATTTATGTGAAAGCAATAGGCCACTTTCCATTTCATTGTCAACATGTATTTTCTCCCATTGTTGCATGTAAGAAAATCTATATAAATAACGTCATCAATCAAAACCAAAATGCCATATTGATTGCATTTTCAATATCTGGTTAATATTATTTGTGCTAATTAATTTCTGCTATTTGTATTATAACAAATAAATTAAAAACTTTGTTAATAAGTGAAAACCCGACAAACATTAGCAACAAACAAATTACTCACGATAAGATTTATCTCCTTTTGTTATTTGTTTTCGATATAATAAAGACTTTCCTGGTACATCAAGGAAACAACGAAGCAAAGCGAAACATATAAATATAGATAACAATGATCGAATTGACCAAAACTTTATGCGAAAACACGCAGTCTTCATTCTCACTCTATTATATGTATAAATAAAGAGGGATTAGGAAAACGCTCGGAGAATAATCTTAAGAACTTCTTTTTTGATACAACACATGTTGCAATCTAAAATATGCGTGTGCATTTTTGCTAATAATGTAAGGAAAAACAAATCGCTGTCTATTTATCTTAATATCGTATCATTTTTTCTTTTTTTCTCTTTCATTCTTGGTATCATATTAAAATTTGGTTGTAATTATCTTTTTTATATACCGGGAATACCATTATATCTGTTTAATAATCTATTGTACTTTTCCGAGTCAAATTTCGAAACTCTATCGTAAAACAATCTAATATCAAATGCAATGAGAAGTTTCTTTAAGAATATTTCTTTATTATCGGAATAATTTGCATAATTGTATGTGAAAACATGTAATTACATTAAGAATGTCGATAGGATATAGTGCATGGGCGCGCTGTTTTTAAGTGGATTGATGCAATATTTCCCTTTTTAGATTTGATTTCTGAATCATTTTTTAATTGTTTCTGATCGGACGGAGTCGTTATCAATGATTTCACTATTCAAAATGTTATAGAATAAATGTACTTCTGAAGCTTTTGATAAGATGGACACGTGGCATTAAATTTTTATATTCCCTTGAAAAAACGTAGACAAGAAATTTTTGTTTTTGTTGTTTTGTTTTCGTTTGTTTTTGGTTAAGTGTAGGTGCGTTTTCATTGTTATTGACACATCTACTATTTTCCAGAACTTATATTTACCTTTGCCCTGTGTGATATCTATTCAATAGGTTTTGACGTTGTAAGAAAGTATTTTACCAGTTTTCACTTTAAGTAAAAAAATCCAAAAGGACTCATTTGTTGACATGCGCATAAAATATTTCGTATTTCATTCTCATCGGTTATGTTATAACGGAGTCCGGTTATTGCGAACACACATAAGTCAAACCAACAAAAACACGAAAATACGATGGTAAAAAAATTAAAATAACAAAATCACTATGTTAAAAAGTCGAAGGTATGATGATATGTCAAAAGTACGATGGTAAAATATCGAAATTCAATTACTTGACAAGTAAAGTGGTCGTTAAATGAAAAGATTGATCTCAATTAGCCTTATAGTGGGGCGGGAAATTGAGAAAATAGTGGAAATTGTGATACAAGCATGAAACTTTCAGGAAATCATCTTTAGACCATGTAGATTTCAAAAGTGAAGTGGGCCCAAAAATATCTCTGCTCATTCAAGATGGCCGCCATTTTCAAAATGGTCGCCATATACATTTGATGTACATACTAGCTCATTCATTCCAATTTTTGATACATACTTTTAACTAACACCAAAGCATGCATATAGTTTCTCCTTTTCAAAAATTTATATCTTACACAATTTCTCTTTCATACCTCTTTCAAAATCAAGATGGCGTCCAATATGGCCGTCGATTTTGTGCAAAACCGTTATATCATTTTTATAGTATAATTTGTTGCACAAATTATGTTTATTACGATAAAAAGTGTTTAAACAAATCAGAGATAATCCAGTTATATGTTAATCTCAATAAAAGTAAACATGTTAAAAGTTTTGTCTTAAAAATATCTTTTTAAAAGATCAAGAAAAAATTCCATTTTTTTCATATTTTTCAAATTTGATTTTTTAAATTAATGTACAAAGTTAAAAAAGCTACTTTATATCTTAAACTGTATTTGACATTTCATTAATATCATGTGTTTATTGTAAAAAATGTAAAAAAACAACATTAAATCTGTAGGTTTTATATTTTGTGAAAGTGGGTGGGGTAATTTTGCACGATAATTGTAAAAGAAAAAACAACAGAAAATAAACATAGCTAAGTTCATTCTATTTCTTTGCCTTTTTACTTTCCTATGAATTCTCATGCAAACTTTCCAATTTAATGAGTACTTTTTATTAGATGAAAGTATTTTTGCCTTCCTTCGAGCCAAGTGGCTTAGCAAGAAATGCACATGCAAACATGTGTATACATTCAGTTATTTAATTTGGTTGCATGATAATTCTTGTTTCAATATATTTGATATCATGTATTAATTGTTAATTGTAAAGACATATAAGAAGACAATAAATCAACTAAACGTGCTTAAAATAGCAAGCATGTACATGAATGTAAGGTATAAAGGTAGTCCATAAACGCATATTTTTGACTCCTTCACAATTTTATATTTATAATATAAACATGGCTTAAAAGCCAACAAAATGTATGTGATGTGAAATAGATATATCAATGATATGGCCTGGCCTGTATGCAGTTTTTTGAAAAGTTAAGGTTAAGATACAAACTAAGTGTATTTCCTAATGTAATCATATCTCATTTTTTTCTTTCAATAAGAGGGCAATGATGACCCTGGATCAGTCACCTAAGATCACTGTTGGAAAAAAAGGTAACAGGATCATTTTGGGAGTGTCAATTATGTCATAACACACATGATTTGTATCATAATTGAATCCGGTTGCTTTTAAAGAAACATGCTCAATATCAAGTTTCAATTTTTTTTCACACGAGGGGACTTCAATAACCATATTCATATTTGAGTCCATATAAACTTAGTGACCGCTGGTGTTTGGTAAATTTGGACCATGTTGTCCATGATATATCAAATATTTGTAAAGTATAACACAATTATGATGATACATGATTAATGTCTATGCGTTAGATACTGTATGTTAAGAGAAAACAGATTCAATACATTAGTCTTTGTAAATTAAGTGATACTCATTGCAAAACCATTTTAGACTGCAGTAGCATCATACAAATTTATGCATGTTATATCAGGCTACATCCCAAATATCTTAGTTCAAGTCATTGTCGTTTAACACTTGATGTTTTTAATGTGTTTTCCTATACAAGTCTGTGAACCCAGGTGGCTCTATGAGCATGATTCATTAAATATGTTAATAAAGACCCAAGGTGGTGCTACATGCTTAGTACCTGTGCTCTGTGCATTTTGATTTTTGAGAATACTTTTTATTTTGCATGTACACTTAATGATCCAAAAGTTTTTTTTAAGTAACTTTAAAAGAGGTCTTCTTTACTTGGCAAGGTTATATTGTGACTATCTAAGCTCTAGGCATTGAAATTTGTTTGTTTGTTGATTATTTTTTAAATAACAACAACAACAAAACAACTTCAATAAGATTCCCTACACAGGTCTTTAAAAACTGTGTTCCTCGTGAGGGCCTTTAAATCATGCTCCTGCAGTTTAAATGGCTTTACCTGTCACTTACTTTTCATTGACTTATATATTAAAATTCTTCTCCGAAACTACAGTGCATTGTGATGCTATATAAAGATTATGAACTATTTTGGCATAGGGTCAAAATCACTTAGTTTACATGGACTCTTATTGGAATATAGTTATACGAGTCTTCTTTTAGTTCTGAGAGTCTAGTTATTGGGCATGTTTCTTTTCAAATAGTTTATAACTCATGACTGTATTTGGTGAAAAAAAGATACTCCTTATATGATTTTAGCATTCTTCAGTATTAATGAATTATAGACCTTTTCCAGCAGTGGATCTTAGGCGAGTGATCTAGGGTCAACAATTCTCTATTGTTTAATGGGGAAAATAAAGCATGAATACATTTAGTTTATATTCCAAATCATAAGCTAAGTTATGTGGGTCAAGCGGTTTTATTAATACATATTTTAGCACACAAAGATTATATGATGTATCAGTCAATTTTTGTTTCTTTTGAAAATATCATGTCTACATAAGTAACTCAATTATACTTGGTTACAATGATGTGCAAGTAAATATAACTTTGAATCATTCTGTTACAAGCTTTCAGCAAGACTACATTGTCCAGGAAATAATTGTATTCATAAATAGACAACATTTCACTCAGGTTCAGGCATGATTTTATCTAACATATGGTTCGTTGATGAATATTCAGTCTTCTTTCTGTACAATTATCAAATTATATTAAGAATATTGAAACAATTTATATCATGCAAACATATTGCAAACACATTTAATAACTGAATGTATACATATGATTGTATCTGCATTTGTTGATATTTTAGTACACCCTCTAGACCTGAAGGAAGACAAAAATACCTTAATACAATAAAATACTTTTACAGTGAATATTTGCATAAGAATTCATAAAAGACGTTATTTTGTACTACAATTGTCTGATAATTTTACCCCACCCACTTTGAATAAGTATAAAACCTTCACATGTTTTGTTTTTGTTACAATTATACAATAAAATATAATGTTGATTGAATATCAAATACACTTTGAATATCAAATACACTTTAAGAGACTATGTAACTTTTGGAATTTTGTACATAGACCTAGAAAACCATGTTAGAGAAAAATGCAAAAATGGAACTTTTTCTTTGATATTTTTAAAGATTGTTTTTGTAAAAAAAACTAAAACATGACTAACAATGTGGTTAACCTAAAATTTGATTTTTTTCTAATATGTTTAACAATTTTATATGGAAATAAGCATACTGTGTGCAAAAAATTATACTACAAAAGAGATATATCAGTTTTCATTAAAATTGGCAGCCATATTGGACGCCATCTTGGATTCTGAAGAAATATGCAAGCGAAATTGCTTAAAGATTTAAATATTTGAAACAGGGAAACTATATGCATGCTTTGGTGTAAGGTTCAGGTCTGTACAAAAAATTGAAATGAATGAGCTATTATGTACGTCAAATTTATATGGCGGCCATCTTGAAATTGGCAGCCATCTTGAATGAGCAGAGATATTTTTGGGCCCACTTCACTTTTGAAATCTACATGGTCTAAAGATAATTTCCTGAAAGTTTCATGCTTGTATCACAATTTGCACTATTTTGACAGCAGAGACCTTATTTCCCGCCCCACTATTATTGGCGGTCGTTGGTCGCGTTGAGCAAAAGTCGCTCAATACATTAAAGATATAGAGAGAAAATGATCGGGGGAATTAAAAGTGGCCGCATAAGGCAAAAGTCGCTTAATACACGTGGTCGCATTGGCAAGTTAGACTGTATTTACAACAGAAGAAAAGGTCATTACCCCTTAAATTTGGACCTATTTTAACCCTAGAGCTTAGTAGAGGTCTACTAGATAATATTTCATGTCAAGACCTTGGCAATAGCTCTCGTAGATTTAAAGAAAAAATAGTTAATACTATATATAAAATAAAAAACTCAGTGGATTATGGTTTAAAATAGTTTCTTTTTTAAGTATAAACGTCTAATGTGTTCACATTTGAGGATTATGAAAGAAGTATTCACGTCACTAAACGAAATGAAATACTAGTATAAGATTTAATAAATTACATATTATGATATGATAGAAGAACAATAAAGATTGACACGCACTCTTTAGGCAATTAAAGAGGAAATGAGGATATAAACATACATGTAAATACCTTTATATTGACGTTTAAGGCTTACAATAATCTGATTATGAAACAACAATAATTCTTTGCAACGGAACATATGTTTATAAGATGCATTTATTATAAACTTTACCAAGAAAATACAAGTGTAATCGGATTTAAAAATCATAAGCTGGCATGTAGGATTCTTTTGGCATTAATACATTTTTTACGGAATTCGACATACGAGTTTAGTCACGTGAAAGAAATATTAATTAACAGGGGAGAC